TCTTCCGATATACTGCAATACCGTAGAGGGAAAAAGACACTTGAGCCATAACAAAAAGTTACGTGAAAATATAATTAAAACAAAATAATTAGATTCTACTACAATATAGAACAAAGAGAGTAAATTCCTATCTAAGAAGAACCACCAAGAATATATCAAAATAGTAAAGACAAAAATCATACTATCTTGTGCCTCTCCCTTCCCTCCACGTCCCCAGTTTTAAAGACAAGTATCCTTAAGACACTTAAATATGGTCACTGGATACTGCTGCCTTTTTTTTTTAACATGGCTATATTTCTCCTAGCTGTCTGAAAAGGTATCGATAAGCATACCTACCATTATTTGTATCTCAAAAACCACTATATGACTAAAACTTTAATGCAAGGCCTGGAAAGTTACACAACCCAAAATATTTACCGCTTTAAAATAAACTTATGATAGTGAGTTAAGTGACAGAAAGCTAAATGATGAACACTAAGAATGAATTTCATGAATCACCATTTCAGTTCAATTTCAGAAGTGGAAATGGTGAGCCAGGTCAGCTGAGCCCACGAGTGACAGGCAGGAGAGAGAAATAACATTTTGCCCGGAAATTTTAGGGAAGTCTTCACGGAGGGGAGATATCAGCTGGTTCTTGAAGGGTGGGAAAGGTTCTGATCAGTAGGCTTCAAGCTCACTAAAGCCCTTTTATTTAGAGGCCTTTTGTTGGAGAGACTAGCAACAGAGCACACGGCATGTCTTGGATTTGAGTGCAGCATATGATTGCGCAAGGGAGTGAGGACTAAAAAGCCTAGAGAGGTTGACTGGAGCCGGATCACCAAAAAGCCTGAACATCTTGCTGAAGAGGCTGGACTGAAATCCTTATGCCGGCAAACTCACTGAAGATTTCTGAGAAGGAAATGGAATTCAATGTTTAGGAAGATTAGTTACGTGGGAACATGCTAAAGGTAACCTGGGGTGGATACGGGAGGACTGAGTGCCAAACGGTCCCCTACTAGAAGACACTACAGAGGGCCTGGATTCAGGAATTCAAATTGGAAACGAGGAGAAAGCCCAGGACCCATACTGGGACTAAATTTAAAAACGCTGCTGAGATTTTGAACACTAGTGACTGATTCTATTAACATAAATTAAGATGTTAATATCTACTTAGTGAAGGCCAAAATGCAGGATTCTGGTACACTTATAAATTTAGTCTTGGCATCCCACACCGCTGCAGCACTCCTTACTGTCAAAGACTGACTGTTCCTCTGCATTCCTAAGGGCTACTTCCTGCAAGCCAGAGCACGTTTTTAAAAAAGTGAGAGTCACGCTTCGTTATCCATATACATTTGGCAAAAATCACAAGTCGTGCAAAGCTGAATTTGGTAAACAATTTGGGATAGTCTGTTTCAACAATGTAATGGCCCATGTTATTATTCTCAGAGAATACGAAAAGCCTCCCTGCTGCCCTCCGTTAAAAACTTTCTACTTGGGATGAGTATTTCCATCTCTCTAGAATACATCTGATCAACAAGACGCCCATTCCTCAGCAGCATCTTTATCCTCCCGAGCTAAAGGTTTACAGTGGACTCCCAGATCTGCTCTCCCCTCCCCTCCCCCCATAAGGAGCCGGGCGAGGCCAGGCCCGACCCGGGAAAAGCGCACTCCTCGGTCTTCCACCCTAGGGAGCCGGAGCCGGGCTCCCCTCCCCCCGCTGGCAGCCTGCGTCAAGGGCGGCGCTCCGGCGGCGGCGAGCCTGGTACCCGGCCCGTCCTGCTCACCTCAGCCCGGGCCGGCTCGGGGCCCTGCACGGCCGCGGGCTGTTGCTGCAGCTGCTGGGCAGGCGCCGGAGGTTCCTTGTTCCGGTGGCTGAGGTCTTCGTCGGGTACGGCCCGGACGCCGGCCGGGGCCCACAGCAGCGGAAACAGCAGCAGCAGAAGCAGTCGGGGCGCAGATGCGCGGCCGCTACCCCGGGCCGCCGCCGCCATCCCGCCCGCCGAGACAGCCGCGCACGGGCGCCTCAAGAGGAAGTGCGGGCGACTGGAAGCCTCGACCCCAAGCCGTCCCCGGGCGCGTCCCCCACGCCTCGCCGCCGCCTTTCAGGGAGGAGCCTGCAGCATGCGGGAAGTGGCCAGGGCGGACGTGAGGCTTAGGTCAGGCCGGCGACCGTAACCAGGCACTCGCCCTCTCCTCGCCCACGGTGGCCGCACGACTCCGCGAACTGTCTCAGCTCAGCCCGGCCCAATTCCTCCGGGCTCCGCCCGTGACTGTGACGGCCTCCCATTGGCCCGGCGTCCGCCTCGGCGTCGTGACGTCCTCGGGCAGGTTGAGGTGCGACTCGCGCCCTCTTCCCATTGGACCCGGCGCTCCCGAGGTACAGGACGCTGCGTGACCTTCCTAGCCTCGCATCCTTCTCGCGCTCCACCTGGGACCTGTTTCCCATCTGTCTGTCCACCGTCCCAGAACCGCACTGCTCTTTACTTCTTGTTCCCTCCTGAGTCTTTTGCCCAAATATCCAGTCCAGCCTGTCTCTTAGCCTTTGCTATATGTCAAATTAGTTCGAACGCCCTGGCTACGTGGCAATTGCGGGAGCTGCCACAGCTTAGCCAGGTTCTGCACTCCTTCACCGATTCTCGGTGCCGCCTCCGACCCGGCGATCTACTGAGGACAATGTGCTTAGAGCGTCAGGATGCGATTATTTAAAACAAACCTCTGAGATGAGACTTAGGAAATAACAAGAAAAATTTCAAGCCTTGTTTTAGACGTTGTTTGTTTGTCTATAATCGCCCCCAGACCAAAAACATCTAACATTACCCTTTTCCTGTAACGCCTTTTCGTTTTACGTGTTTTGTGCCACACCTATCTTAGACTGGCCTCTTAATATGTTTGGCTTTTGAAATTGAGTGTTTAGGATTTTTGAAGGATGGGGATTGGGGTGGGCAAGCATAGGAAATAGGAAAGGATGATTGGTTGAGAATATTTTTACATCTTATTTTTTTAAAGTTGAGCTATTTAGTTATCAGAAGTGTGACTAAGGTTGTGCTAACCTTGAGGCCAAGGCAGTATTATACTTTATATATATTTATATATATTAAGCCTGTACTTTGTGAAGAGCTAAGGAAGGTTATCAGTAAATGCTGGTACAAGAAATTAATCCAACAAAACAATCTGTGGAAGAGTGGACAAACCTACTTTGAATTCACTGAAGATACCATGTTATGTCATGGGTTAGTAAAGCTTTTGTCCATGCTGTTCCTGTCTGTAACTAACTTCCTCCTTTCTGTCATTGTAAACTCCTACTCATACTTCCAAAACCTGTTCAGGCCTGACCACTCAGAAGTCTTCCCCCAACAGCTCCTCTTACAGAATTCATCAGTCCTTGCTTCATGCTACTGTAGATTATGCATGCTTCTATTACTATGTTAGTAACTAGGATGCCGTACAGTTTGGCATACAACTCAGTTCATCCCTAGGATGCAAATGTTTGAGTCTCACAAACTAGTAGAGAACCCAGAGGTGTGAACTATCCTCCCTCCAACACCCTCTCCTTTACGCCTACAGCATTTGCTGAGCTTAAGAGGTAACTGAAAGGAAGTCTGGTGGCTCAGTCTAATGACTGAGACAGAAGGGTGAATGCAGCAACACTGGCCATGTGTCCTGGATTCCTAGAAGGTGCTTGGCTTATTTTCTGGAATGGGCCCCTACACTCCAGAGCTCTCTAACAGGAAGTACTCATGGCTGAATTCCCAGCCACCTTGGCAGATGTGGCAATGAGGACTTACGGGTTAAGCTGCAGGATGTCTATGCACCAGCCACTGAGTGAAGGGTGGCTCAAGGGCAAGGCAGCAAAGCTCTTAGCAGATGTAAACAGACAAAGTCTTGCCCTCAGGGGGGACCTGCACAGTGGGGTCAGTGACAGTGTCAGAATCTTGGCCAGAGTGGGGCTCTTCCAGTGCACCCTGATCCAAGGGCCCTCAGGCTCCTCAGCCAGTTTAGGCTCCAGGTGTCAGATTCCAAAGTGATCAGCTCTTTCCATGCCCAGGAGTGCTACATCAGGGCTGGTTCTAGCTTTCACCACCTTGAGGATTTAGAGCTATCATTGTTCTATTCCTCACTGGTAACTAACTCCTTTGGAAAACAAAACAAAACAAAACAAAACAAAAAAACTAAAAACAGGCAGTTTCCTGATACCTTTCTTGCAAACAGAGGTACTTACTTGACCCCAACCAATAAGGATGTAGGAGGCTCAGCAATCCCAAGATGAATTTTTTTTTTTTTTTTTTTTGTCCCGGGCTGCATAGAGAGTCTCATTAAAATGCAATCACTGGTAGGCACCCTTCTGGTAAGAAACCCTACTACATGTGCTTTACACTGTATTTTTTTAAATATAAATTTTATTTATTTATTTATTTAACCTGCATTGGGTCTTCGTTACTGCGCACGGGCTTTCTCTAGTTGTGGTGAGCGGGGGCTACTCTTCGCTGCAGTGCACGGGCTTTTCATTGTGGTGGCTTCTCTTTGTTGTGGAGCACGGACTCTAGGCACACAGGCTTCAGTAGTTGTGGCACTCGGGCTCCAGAGTTGTGGCTTGTGGGCTCTAGAGTACAGGCTCAGTAGTTTTGGTGCACGGGCTTAGTTGTTCCACGGCATGTGAGACCTTCCTGGACCAGGGCTCGAACCCGTGTCCCTTGAATTGACAGGTGGATTCTTAACCACTGCACCACCAGGGAAGCCCTACACTGTATTTTAATGTTTTTTTTTCCTTACTGAGCTTCAGATGGTAAGATTATGTCTTTTATCTTTTATATCCCTGGCACCTAGCTGATTTCCTAACTTACTAATAGTGATAGCCATCATTACATTAGTAATAGTAGCAGGAAATATTTACTGAGTGCTTATTCTGATCCATGCAGTGCACTGAATGTGTTACATGAATGATCTCACAAGGCAGGTACTCTTTTTTTTAATTTATTTTTTACACAGCAGGTTCTTATTAGTTATCTATTTTATACATATTAGTGTATATATGTCATTCCCAATATCCCAATTCATCCCACCACCACCCACCCTGCTTTCCCCCCTTGGTGTCCAAACGTTTGTTCTCTACATCTGTGTCTCTATTTCAAGGCAGGTACTCTTCTATTTTTTTTTTTTTTTTTTTTTTTTTTGGTTTTCC